GTCCAGAGGACCAGATTGAACTTTTTTGGATTTTTCTACCTGGATTACTGAGCATGCATCAGGATATTCTTCTTGTAGCCACTTCCTGGATCTCTTTTCAGAGGTTCATAAGTGGTTAAGACACTAAGGAGTGTCATAACTTTCTCATGATAGTCTTTCTGGTTCAAAATCACTGTGCACCTTCCTTTGTCTGCTGGGAGAATGATGATGTTTTTGTCCTTGCTAAGAGTGGTGAGTGCATCCCTCTCCTCTCTACTGATGTTGGAAGGATCCAGTCCCCCGGTACAGAGTAATATTGTGTATGCTGTTCAGTGTCAGGAGGGCTGTGATCAGTCTTACATCGGGGAAACTAAACAGCCACTGGCCAAAAGGATGGACCAGCACAGAAGATCAACATCATCAGGCCAGGACTCTGTGGTCTACACTCATCTCCAGGCCAGCGGTCACTCTTTCAAGGATGAAGATGTTCACAACCTGGACAGAGAGGAACGATGGTTTGAGAGAGGAGTAAAGGAGGCCATCTTTGTGAAAAGAAACCGTCCATCATTAAACAGGGGTGGAGCCTCTGGGTTCAACTGTCCCCCTCTTACAATGCTGTGATTGCTAGTATCACTCAGCCCTCTGTGAATAGTAAACAGCCATCAGTGTGCTAATGATCCATCATTAGGCTGATGGTCCTTCTTGATCATGTCCTGTCCTGGACTGGTTTAAATCTTTCCTCTCCAATAGGCTGGAATGTGTTAGTCTTGGCAATGCCAAGTCCCAGACTGTCTGTGTCTCCTGTGGTGTCCCTCAAGGGACAGTTCTAGGGCCCCTGCTATTTTCCCTTTACATGCTGCCTTTAGGTCAAATTATTAATCAGTACAACATTTCTTTTCACTGTTATGCCGACGATACACAGCTTTACATCAGGACTGGAGCATCATCTTCACCACTGTCATCTCCATCTTCACTCGCTGCCCTCTCTACCTGCCTGGAGGAGATAAGGGCATGGATGAATCAGAACTTTCTTCAGTTAAACTGCTCCAAAACAGAGGCCATACTGATTGGCACCCCTCACCAGGTTCAAACTTCAACTATAACGACTATTTCCTTTTCTGGACAAGACATCCCCTCTCCACCTCTGTTACAAATCTTGGAATAAAAATGGACTCTCATCTTACATTTGAAAATCACATTAAGCATCTGTTTAAAACCTGTTTCTTCCATCTTCGAAATATCTCCAAACTGCGCCCAGCTCTCACTTTTGCTGATGCAGAGAAACTTGTTCATGCCTTTGTCTCCTCCAGGCTCGACTACTGCAACTCCCTGTTTTCTGGAATACCCGGCAAAAACCTTCAGAAGCTTCAATATATTCAAAACAGTGCAGCCAGGATTTTATTGAGAGCTCGTAAATTTGAACATATTACACACATTCTCCATAACCTCCACTGGCTTCCTGTCACTTACAGAATTCAGTACAGAATTGCTCTCATCACCATCAGTGTTTATACAGAAATTCACCAGATTATCTGAAGGAGCTTCTTGCTCCATATTCATCCACCCGGTCCCTAGGATCACAGAACAGTCATCTCCTCCACCTTCCACGAACTAACTTAAGAACCATGGGAGATCGGGCATTCTGTGTGGCTGAGCTAAGTCGGATCTCTAGATGTGCAAATCTGGAGATAAGCCCCCCAAAACATTTTGCACCTGAAGAGAAATAGGTCAAACCAAGAACTGACTCAATGGGCTGAATATAAATAAACTTAGATTTAATTTGTAATTTTTTTTTTTACCTTCCACTTAGTGGTTTGTGGCTGTAACCTCACAAAATATGGAAAAGCTCATGGAGTACAGATAAGGCAATGACGATAAATTCTGCATAAAAAATATCAAGTCCGGTAATTTTTATACACTTGAACAATATGTTAGTTAAATAATTTTAAAGAAGGACTAAAAATATTGACTCAGACAGGGAGTTATTGACTTTTGTCTTGTTACACAACAGACGTTTGTGTCTTTAAACCTGGTCAAATTAACAACTGACATAGGAGCGAAGAATTGTGTCAAACGTTCCCAAAGCCCCGTGTTGATATGAAGCAATAATTTATACAATTGAGTTTGTAGCATATAAAGACGTATTTGACCCGAGTTAGCGTAGCTTCTGGTTTATTGCCGCTTTCGGGCAGCGCAAACAAGCTAGGGAACAGGAACATAGGTGTAATTTTTTAAAATATGCATTTGTGTGAAACATTTCGTGTTTAACATTCTCTTAAATTACCTTCAATTGTCCCGCCATGAACGCTGGTTTAGATCTCAGGACATTGAACGGCGCTTCCTGAAAGTTGAAAAAAAAAACCTCTCGCGCGTTCTCGCACATTCTCGCGATACTTGAATAAGAAGTTGGGTTTTTTTTTTTTTTTTTTTACTTTATACCTGAATAAGAAGTAAAACGACATTTATTAACATTCATTAAAGCTTTTCTAAGGTAAGAAAATAATGTTCATGATTTAAATAAAGTTCACACATTGTTTATCTATTATTATGGACTCCAAATAGTTAACATATTTTTAAATGTTTAATGATTTTATAAAATAAGATGCTGATCAGTATTTAAGGGAAAACTTGAGTTACCTTGAGTGACATCAAGAAACTCCTTCGCTTTGCATCTTGTTTGTGTGGCTGCTCTGATTTTCCTAAAGTATTCGGAACATATGCAGAGGTTAGTTTCTTGTTTTGTTTTGTTCTGGAGGAAGTTCTCTCATTTTCATGTGATGGGCTGAAGTTTTTTTACTCAGTTGAAGGTCCGGCCACATGTCCAGCAGCTTCAGCCCAGCACTGCTCATCAATAATGGACATGTCACTTCGAACCTTTATTTTTATGTGGATTACAGTTGGATGTCTGTCACAACCTGAAAACTCCGAGACTAATAGTAACCTGCCAGTGCACTGTGATTTTGTTTTCAAAAATGTCTGTCTGGAGTTTGTGGAGGAGTCAAAAACCTTGTTCCAAGCCAGCAGCAGCTGTGAAAAGAAAGGAGGACAACTTCTAAAAGTTATCAACAACTCAGTTAAAATGTACCTGAGCAACATCACCAGAGCAAATAAGATCAGTAACTTCACATGGTGGATTGGAGAAAGGGTGCAAGTTCATCATCAAGGACCTTCACTAAGTGAGTAAAATATAGTTATTTTTAAGTTTATTGTGATAATTTCAGTAAAAATAGTAATTTTCTCATTTATTAAATACCTACTGTATAGATTTGTGCAGAAGAAAACAAAAATAAAAACTTTTTTGGTTTGTTTAATTGACTATAAACCAAATAAATCTAATAAAGCTGGCTTCCTTAGGTAGATAACGTTCACTAACTGGCTTTTTTAATGTGAATGTTTCTGTCCAGTGCCCTGAGACAACTTCTGTTGGGATGTGATGCTCTATAACTAAACTGAAATTCAACTGAATTTAATTAAAGTAGAGAAAATGTAAAATAGAAGAAAGTTATGTTGCATAAGATCATAAAAGTATCTCCTAAACCTAAGAGAGGCTATGACTTTTTTAAGATTTTGGGAGAGTTAAATTGAATTTATTTTGAGTTTTTGGCTTGAGCACAATCTCACTTAAAATAAATTTGGATTCTTTTTGTCTTTTTACGTTGTAAAAGGCATCTCCTTTAGGAATTTTATGAAGTATTATACCAACTAAAACAGGATCATGAGAATTTATTTTACAGACAGACAGACAGACAGACAGATAGACAGACAGATAGATAGATAATATTTGTTAATGCCTTTTAGAATTTGGCCATCTGGTTTAACAAAATATATTAAAGAGAATCACTTTACTGACCCAAAAGCAAACAGTTGTAATACCTAAACTGTGTACAAATACTTTTTTTAAAAACAGAAAATGACAATGTTTCGAGAGATCTCTGTACATACATCAAGTTAAATCCTCTTGGGCTTCTTACGTCAGACTGCAGCGTGAAACGGGGCTTTCTCTGCATCCACAGTATGTATGAAGTCCATATCAATCACTGCTTAAACACCTTCCTTCCTTTTGTCCTCTTGCTTTAATTACACAAAAAATGCAATTGAATTCTTACATTTTCTTTTTTGCTTTGAATTAAAAATGTTTTCCTTGTCTTAGAACCTTTAAAATCTCCATCAAGAACAAAGGTAAGAGCTAAAGTTCACTTTATCAGGAAAACTTTGTAAAACTAAATTGTAACATTTTTGTTTACCTCTTCAGCAACCAGTCATCTCTGGTTATCCAATCAGATCTCGTAAGTTTAACTTCATATAATCCATTTCTTAATGCATAGAAGTTATCAGTCTTAAGATGACTTTGTGTGGCTTATTAAAATCAAAGTAAACCCAAATAATTTGTTTCCAGGGCACAAAAGGGATGTGAATGCTTTAGATTATTATTTAAATGAAATGGCTTCAAATAAAAACAACATTAACGTTTTACTGCAGGTGGGTTAAGCCTCTTTATTTTAAGTCCAGCTACTCTAGATTCACAGTTTAAATGATTGAATTATACACAAAAAAAGTACAAACATAACACTTTTCCTACATCAGAGTTTGCGTGCTCTCTTTTTCTGGTGTAGTCTGCGGCCAAAGTCCTGCGGGAAATGGAGAAGATCCCACAGGAACCAGAAAGTAACCGACGAGTGGGCACCTTTATTTTACTACAATGTTGTTTTTGCATAATTCTGGTCTTTATTGATTATCTCAGCAGGTAATGTGTTAAACGAAGTCTATATTTTATACCCACAGGAGAAGTTTATTGCGGCTTTGCTGAATGGTGCAAAATCATTGACTAAAACTAATGCTTCACAAAACCAGAGCATCATCCCAGACATCATTAGCTGCAGCACTGCCATGATGCGGCTGTCCCTGCAAAATTGTGACATTGCTAGCAACCCAAATCCTGTAGTAAGATCACACACTTCCTCCTCCAAACACACACATGTCTCATTACTGTTCAGTTTTCAAAGTCAAATCTTACTATTTTAATTTTCTCCACAGACTTTGTTTGAGAGATTATTTGAGATTATTCGTGTAGCTTCTCTGCTGACTGGTCTGGAAATTGATCAGACATATGTGACCAGGACACCAACAAGCACCCTCTATATGACAACGTAGGTACATGCTACTTCAATAATTTCACATAAATATGTATTTTAAGTCCACTGTAACTTTTCCGCTCCTCCATCAGAGTCAAACCCAATGGACTCAATAATGCAGTGGTGGGCTCAAAGGAAGATGGGGGGTTTGTGAAGCTCCCATCATATTCATCTCTGCTCTCGACACTTGGAAGTTACAATAGTGTCACCGCACAGGTTGGGATGAACTGTAAACATGCGTTTGTGTCTCATCTGCAACCTTTCTGAAAGAGCTCATTTCATTTTCAGGTGGCCACGTTCCCAAGCAATCCTCACCCCTCTGACGACAACATTTCAGGAAGTGTTTGCAACTTTGTACTTAGTGATGGAAGTGACGAGATTAAAATGGAAAATCTGGCTGAGATGGTTGAGGTACAGCTATAAAGAAATGTAACGTTTATGTTGGCCCGGTTCAGATACAGAACGTGCATTTCATGTAGTTCGTTTAACATTTAAAACCTTACAAGACAAAAAAAGTAAATAAAAAAAAGTTAAAAGAAATGTATTTAATAGGAAGTTGCATAGTTACACAATGCTTTTTTATTAAAAGGCACCTGTATTGAAAGTATTTAATAAATTAAGTAAACGTAAAATTGTATTTAAAACACAAAATTTTTCAGTATTTACTGGGCAAATACTTTTCAGTAGCTTTGCAGTCTGACGTGACATCACTGTAATTATTGCACATATGCATTTATTGTAAAAAATAAAATAAAAATAAAAAAAGTTAAATTTTCACATATTAGTTTACAACAAAGTCCATGCTCAATAATCCAGGTATGCAATTCAACATTTTTCAGTCAGGTCATTTGGACAGTTTCTTTTTTTGCTGAAACATTTCACCTTCCATCCAGAAGGCTTCATCAGTCAAGGAATCACACAACACAAAACTGATTCTTCCTCCAACAGATTACTCCAAAGTGGAACAAACCAGTTATGTTGGTTCTAAGATGGTGTCTTTGGCACATCCCCTCCTCCATTGCCGGCCCTCTTCCTAGTGGACAGTCATGTCAAACTGGTTGAAAACAACAAAGTCCATGCTCAATAATCCAGGAAGGCTTGAACTGATGAAGCCTTCCAGATCGAAGGTGAAACGTTTCAGCACAAAAAAAGAAACTGTCCAGATGACCTGAATGAAAAATGTTGGATATTAGTTTACAGTTAAAATTTTACATTTTTAATCTAAATACACTTTTTAAAAAATAAGAAAACAAAATAGCACATTTCACAGAAGTTAAGTTACGTTTTACCTATCCTTTTTTTTCATTCAACCTTTATTTAGACAGGTAAATCCCATTGAGCCTCGAGGACTCATTTACAAGAGAGACCTGATTTCAACAAAGAATGATGACAACAATGGACAGTTATAAAAAGTCATACAGATTATTATTTTTTACAAATAGGATGACAAAAAAGTAACAAAAACAGCTAGATTCTAAGGCGAATGTAGAAAACCAAAAACAGGAACATGTCTGCATTGGTCCCTGCCAGGAGTCCAACAGATGTTTGAAGTCATTTAGAGAGGTCAAGGTCGAGAGCTTCAGATGTTTTTACAAGATATTCCAGGAAACAGGAGTAGGAGAAGGTCCTTTTGTCTAGTTCAGTCCTCACTGAGGGAACACTGCAGGTAATAATGTCCTGAGAGAACACGCTGTAGCTGCACTCACACAGAGACCTGTAGGCAACATCTACTGTATGTACAACCCAATTCCAAAATGTTGGAATGTTGTCCAGCCAGCCAGCCATCCATTATCTTTTACCCGCTTCTTCCATTTTTGGTCACGGGGGTCGCCAGTGCCCATGTCCAGCAATCACTGTGCGAGGGGCGGGGTACACTCTGGACAGGTCTCCAGTCCATCACAGGGACACATAGAAACAAACGAGACGAACAACCATTCACTCTCTCACTCACTTAGGGACAATTTAGAGTTACCAGTCAGCCTAACATGCATGTTTTTGGTCTGTGGGAGGAAACCGGAGTACCCGGAGAAAACCCACGGAGCACAGAGAGAGCATGTAAACTCCACCCAGAAAAGACCCTGTGTACACAATTCAGTTCCACCACATGTACCACATGGGGTGTGAATGACAAATAAAGAACCTTGAATCCTTTAATCCTTAAAAACAGGTCTGAATCTGTTCTGAACATCCCTGTGTGGACTCAGGATTACTTCTGTTAATCATAGTTTGTTAACACAGTTTGTTGTGCAATCCACGAATGCTGGTTAAAGCTCTATCACGTGGAAAACTGCTCTGTGGCTAGATGAATCAAAATTTGAAATTATTTTGAACACCGTGTTTTCTGTATAAAAGGGTAGAATGGCTATCATGTCTGTTGTCAACATTAAGTTCAAACGTTCTCATCTCTGATGGTATGGGGTGCATTAGTGCTTATGGCCTGGGCAGTTAATATAACTGAAAAGGTCCCATCAACGCAGAAAAGTGTATGCAGGTTTTAGAACAACAAACGCTCCCATCCAGACTGCATTTGTTCAGAGAAGGCCTTGCATATTTCAGCAAGATGCTGAACCACATGATGCAGCCATTTCAACACAACGGCTTTGTAGTAGGAGTCCAGATGATGAATGGTCCTGCCTGCAGTCCAGATGATTCCACCAATTTAAAACCTTTGGGGCATCACAGAACAAAATCAGCAAGGAAGATCCAGGATGCTGAACATCTGCTGGTCTCCTCAGTTTCTGGACATTTACAGACTGTTGTTAAAATAAGAGGGGATGCTACTCAGTAGGAAACTTAGCTCTGTCCAGATTCTTTAAATGTGTTGCTGCATCAAATTCATTTTACACAATATTTCATTTGTTCTTGGGAATGTGGTTGTAATCTAATTTCATTTTAAAATGATCATTGTTTATTTATAGCTTGTCCCAGAAATGAACATCATCTTGAGGATTTTTGCCTGTCTCTGGTTTCCTCAGATATTTTTGAGTCGTCCAAAGTATGCAGAGCTAACGAACAGTACCATTGAGCTGACCACAGACACCAAATCAGTTTCTGCAATTAATGTCTCAGACCCTCAGATGACTGTCTTCTTCAGCATACAGCCCAGTGTCAATGTGTCTCTGGATCTTTTGTTGGCTCACGGGTCACCCCCCAACTCCACGTATTTCAGCAACACGACCACCTTGAGCTACACAGGTACCCAGCAAATGACTACTCTATACAAATAGAGCTCTTTGTGTTTTTGTTTTTTCTTGTAAAATTTAGTTTATATATATTTTATATAATATTAATTTGACTTTTGTTTTCCAGGAGGCTATCGCTGGATGATAACCCCTGAGATGTTTCAGCAGACTCCTGGGGTTTGGTATGTTGACACAAGACTCGTAAATTACACTTTGAAAACAGGAGTGTCGCTGACAATAACCACCTTTATGAGCAAGTGCCTGTACTGGAACACAACACTAGAGACATGGAGAACTGAAGGCTGCATGGTACGTGACATAAAGCATTCTGCATGCATTAAATAAGTGAATCACCTGGTGACGTGTATTTGTCTCAGGTGGGAAAGAAAAGCACTCCAGAGCTTACGCAATGCCTGTGTAACCACCTCACTCTCTTTGGGAGCTCCTTCTTTGTGATGCCCAACTACGTTGACATATCTCGAACAGCAGCGCTCTTCGCCACAGTTAATGAAAACTATGTGGTGTTGGCCCTGCTGTGTGTTTTCTACGGTCTTTACCTCTCCACACTGCTGTGGGCCTGCTATGCTGACCGCCGGGCAAGCTCCAAGGTCAGACGTCTTTATGACCCTTTATGTACTGTCTATAATAATTTAGGTGTAGAGAAATTCACTAAAACTAAGAGAAATTAAACTTCTTGGTTTTACGTTCTAACAAATTCAAATATATATGCTCTGCTTTGTGGTTTCTTATCAGAGGAAGATAACTCAGCTGGAGGACAATCACCCAGGAGCTCAATACAACTACTTGATCGGTGTCCAAACTAGTCATCGTAAAAATGCTGGAACTTCTGCGAATGTAAGGGTTTGCTTTTTATTTTCTTTCATTATTGACTGATTTGATTTTTCATCCTGCTCTTGTCGTAACTTTTACTTCTGTTTCCAAGAACATTTTGATTTGTGCCAAAGAAAAACAA